TTCTGCTATTGTGCCACCAAAGCTCCGTACTGAAATGTTGCACCACCAAAGCTGTTTGCTGAGCACCGTCCTCAAATATAATGCCCTGTGTTTTGTGTGCCAATCTGTCCCTTCACTAAAAGGTGACATCATGGGATAGTTTGGGTTCAAACTCCAAATCATATCTCAGGGTGATAGTTTCCGGGAGTCCCCTAGTCTCAACTAGTCCAATCAGTTTGGACTTTCTAAGAATTGGAATTTTGTTTGTGTTTTTCTCCCATTGTGCCATTGTGTCAGGGTCCATTTATTGTGGCCCTGATAAGAATGGTTGGTAGTAGTAGATGGGTCCCATCTGGTGCTTTCGGTCTCAGGGTTGATGAGGTCATGGCTTGTGTTGTTTGTCAACCTGGTTATTAGTTTCTTCTCTGAGATTTGTTCTCCAGCTGGCCCTTTGCTCCTGGTAAGTAGAGACCATTAGTTGTATCTTAGATGGTAGTTTGCAAGCTTTAAAGACACCAGATGATGCTCACCTCATTGGGATGTCAAACATGGACTTTGTGATGCCAGTTTATTGACTAAGGCCCTAGACAAGCTTAGAAAACTATTCTCATGAGGTGTTTGATTGTATCTGAGAAGTATCATAGGTAACTGTGTCCTTTATCAATATTCATGTATGTCCACACATATCTGTACATACATATAAATACTTCTATCTGTTCACACACATATACTCATCTGTACCTACCCATACACATATATGCCTGTACACATATACGCCTATTCACATATGTACTAGGATATTGTTGGCACTGTTGTCTTATATGTGTCCTATTTTTTAAAATAAGCATCTGTTTTTCTTGCTTTTATTTTTAAATGACCAGACTATCACTTGCTCACAGTAAAACCTCATCTTCATGCCCATATTGATCGTTGGATCAATCGTTTTATGATACAAGTTTTGTATTTTAAAACCAGTTTAATTTATATGCTAAATGCGAATCAAACATTGATTAAATCAGGCTCTTGGTATCAAGAAAATATTAATGGCATAAAAACATATTGTAGGGAAATACATGCATTGCTATAGTCATGATATGGAAAGTTGAAATCTGAACAGAAAACAATGAATCAGAGACAAAACTATAAACAGAATTGTAGGCATGAATGTGGTTGTTGTTGTTAAGTGCCATTGAGTTAACCCTGTATACGATTTCCAAGGTGCGTCTGGTAAGTTTGAATCATTGATCTTGTGGTTCAGACCAACCTTGCAGTCCAGTGTTTTTCAATATATTTTTAATAGTAAAAATAGTCCAAATTTTGAGGGTTAACTATAAGTCCTTTTACTTAATACAGTAATTATCCTATAAGTTAGAAATTATATGGCAATAACTTGACTAATTATGTGATCAAAGTGACACAGTTATTAGTGGAGAGACCAATAATAGTGTCTGAACTCAGAGCACTAATATGCAGCCTCATCCTTTATATATAACTAGAGAGATGAGTAGAAAAGACAGCCCACAATAGCTAGAAAAACATACAATAACCAGAGGCTACTAAGAAATGTTTTATGTTTTGATTGATTCACTTATCAAAAGTGTCATATTGATCACACTGTCTGAAACCCAGGACTCCTCAGTATATTTGTGTGAGAGACAGACAAAGAGAGAGACAGAAACAAGAGACAGACAAAGAGAATGAGTATATGAAAAACTGATAAATCCCAGTAAATCTAATAAAACTAACATATTATTATCCAAAAGTTGGGGAAACAACTAATAAATCACTTATTAATATCTAAGTTGGGTGGGAAGCAACTAATAAATCACTTAATATCTAAGTTGGGTTGCAGACAAGAAGTAAAGCAGGGAAGAGTTGATACTGAAATATTTCTGTGATACGTGTTTAAAGTAATACAAATATCTAACTTTTATAAGTGAAACACTTATTCATGTACTGAAATTCTTAAGTATAATATTTTTAAATAAAAATGGTTAGTAAATATGTTTATTAGAAGCTAGTTTATAAATTAGTCCTAGTTTTTATAATAAATCCTTAGTGTCTATTTTATTTTGAAAATTTTCATTCAAAAGCAACTCAGTAGCTCTGGTAGCATTGTGGTTACGAATCGGGCTGCAAACCCAAGGTCAGCAGTTCAAAACTACCAGTTGTTCCTTGGGAGAAAGATGAGGCTTTCTGCTCATGTAAAGATTTATAGCCTTGGAAACTTTATGGTTTCTATGAGTTGCAACCAACTCCATGGCATATAACCACCACCATTATCAGATAGATGGTTTTTGTAGTATGTGTCCATGTACATAGATTATTAAATAATGACGGTGAGCTTTACTATGTGTAGGATAATTTTTTCAGTCAGCAACATATATAAACACTTGCTAAGGTGTAGACTATGCGTTATTTTCTAAAAGAGGTAGAGTAAATCACCACTTTACGTACAAAGCGCCCTATGTTGTAATGGAAACAGGTGTAAGATGTTATGAGAATCTATGAATCTATACTGAAATCCACTCAGATTTTTTTCCAGAATATTGTTGCTCATTTAGGGTGACAATTATGCTCTATTGTAAAAACCTGGACAATTTACAGTTGAAAGACAGCTCTAGCTATAATTACTCTGAACAATTAAGTGTGAAGTTGGCCAAGTAGGAGATATGATCATCCTATTTCATCTCCAACATATTAGGTGTAATGATCTTTCTATGTCTAAAATACATAAAAGTCAAATCATGAAGACTGACTTAAATTCAGAAGCCTAACAAAGAATTGTTCCAAATTAGCACAGTTTTTACAAGTAGGAAACTATGGCAATAATGAAAAATGCTTAGTATCTTACATTATGATTGTTATTTTTTTAATTTATTTTGCTGGTGTTGTTCACAATATACACAGAAAAACATGTTCCAATTGTACAGTTTCTACACACACTGTTTATTGACATTGATTGTATTATTTGACTTTTGACCACTGCCATTCCTCTCTAATCTTTCTAGCTGCTATTGCCTGTTTGATCCCATGTTGGTGGTGTTTAAAATGGCAAAATGCTCAAGGCAGATATTTTTTACTGTTTAAGCTAAACTACCATTTGGTTGTAAGAAGACTTCAGGAGACATTTTTGGTTTAAAGTTTAAAGATTATCTAGGGCAGTAATTTCAGAGGTTATCCAGCTTTCATAGCTGTAGAAAGCCTGAGGTCCATAGGGTTTTTATAATCCTGCCTTTTGATAGGGATTCTGCTTTGAAATCTTTTCTCAAAGCATTCAGTGATGGTGGAAGGACATTATCCAGTTCTTCTGATCTCATGACCAATGAGGCAATTGTAGCTTTATATTTCATATCCTACCTCCTTTTCCTGATTGTCCAGCTTCCTTCCCCCCCACCCCCCACCCCCAGGCAAAAATATACCAATTGTTGTGCCTTGGATGGCCACCTACAAGCTTTTTAAGATCACAGGCCCTATGCAAAGAACTAAGTGGGAGAACAAATTTACTAAACATGTTATTAAGCTAGTTAAATGGGTTGTCCAATGAAACCATGATCCCAGCCACCAAACCAAAAAGCCAAATCCCATCCTGGTTTTGGTTGCACTTAAGCAGCCTCAGGATAGTTGTATGTTATATGAAGGTAAATCATAAAGTATTCCTACTAGCCTACCAGTTCAAACAATCATGCATTTATTCCAAATAAAATGTATTTAAACATTTCTCTGCAATCAGTGGATGGCTGCAGAAAAGTTCTCACAGTAGTGTATTGGTCTCAGTAGTGTTAAGGGGACTTAAAAAAAAAAAGGCACAATCAAGACAGTGGCTTCCAAGGGGGCAAGATTACAAGTTCAGTTAAACTCAAGGCAGAGAAGTCACCTCAGACAGTTATGGCAAAGAGGTAAATAATCAGGATTTCAAAGGGTAAATAATCGGGACAGATTTTCTCAAAATGCAGGATAATCTCAGAAGATTATTATAAAGAAGTTTACGGACTATTAAAAGCTGCTTTGGAGATAAAAAGGATAGGAAAGGTGTGCCAAGAATTTTGTTTCCATTACATCCCATGCATTTAGTCATTCTTCAAGGGTAGCAAGGACTGTCCTATGAGAATTTTCATTGGGAAGCCTCACACCATCCAACTTACAGCCCTGATCTTGACACTTCAGACTTCTTTTTGTTCCCAGAACTCAAAGAACATTTAAAAGGAGCACAATTTCAGTTCCTTGAGGCACTGTAGGCTAAGCACTGGACTGCTAACCTCAAGGTTGGCAGTTCAAACCCACCAGCCACTCCTCTGAGGCCCTAAAAAGGGTTAGTATGAGTCAGAACCAACTGGTTGGCACTTAACAACTACAACTGAGGTAGCCAAAACTGCTGTTTTGATGTGGTATAAACCAAAGACTGCAGAATTCTTCCAGGAAGGGTTTCAGAAATGGGAACACTTCCATTTGAAGTGTGCAGACATAGTTAGAGGGTGTGTCTAGAAATAATAACTTCGTATTTTGATTTCTTTGTTGTTTAGTAGAGGTTTCTATGATTTTGTAGAAAAACTTTTTTACTTGCACTTGTAATCCTACGACTTTTGAAAATTCAGCTTCTTAAAGGTGTACAACTTGGTGCAGTAGGTTAATGTGCTAGACTGTAAGGTCAGTTTGAACTGCAAGTCTGTGGTTCAAGCTCACCAGCTGCTCCTCAGAAATCCTGTTCAGGGTCACTATGGGTTGGAATTGACTAGATGGCAATTAACAAACAACAATACCTTACTAAATCAGTTGCAATAATCAGATGTTCAACTTTAATCAATGTAATATTACTATCATTATTACCCCCCCACACTTGAGTAATTTACTATAAAAACATGTGTGATCATTTTAGTGGAGTTGTTTAGCTGTTTCTTTTATGGTTTCACGTAAGCAAGTCATATCAACATTAGCTTAGTTTTTAAAGTGATATGCCATTGTACATGAGCTGCCACAAAGACTTGCATGTTTACTGATAGATGCTTTTGCTTGATTTCCAGGACCAGTGGTTTTGGCGGGTGAGAAACAACAGGGTGATGGATGGATACCCCATGCAAATTACTTACTTCTGGAGGGGGCTGCCTCCAAGTATTGATGCAGTGTATGAAAACAGTGACGGGAATTTTGTTTTCTTTAAAGGTAAGAATGTTTCCCATGTCTTCCTATGTTGTTTTTGGTCATGATCCTGTAATACACACAGAAGCATAAAATTAAAGCCTACTGTGAAACTTTAAGTAGTTAGTGCATTTTAGGACATAAGCCATATATATATATGTTGATCCCCAATATAAATAAAATCACAAATAATTTAAAAATTTTCTAGTATATGTTTTCTCATATGGCAATCGTCTTTATAAGTCAATTTTAGTAGGCATTCTGTTTCCTTATTTTATATGCTATTTTTTAAACTTAATTTGATTTAACCAATCTATGTTTAACAATGTCCAGTAAACTGCATAATTCTTTTAAAGGGCAAAGAAAACTTATGAGTCTAAAAGTTTTCCTAAATATTATTAAATTGATTAAAATTGTAATTCATATGTGTGACATTCAAACTGCATGGCTCATGCTCTAAAGACAGATTTACCTGGTAAAGAGATTTTAGTCAGATGCTTGCCACCCATCCTCAATATTTTCTCATGCTTAGAAATATCAAACTTACATTCATGAGGTCAAATACAAGAAAAGAAGACAGATTGCATTTAAGTATTGAGGTAATTTTGAGAAGAACATATTTGACCTACAACTGAGGAGAACTATGACTGAAAATATTATGCATGAATCTGTGGAACTAAAAATAAATTTAAACAAGGATGAAGGTTGAGGAAAGGAAAAGTATATCTTAATCAAAAGAAGCAATTACTCTGAGGACCAAAATGGAAGAAATGCTAGAAACGAACAGAGTAATGAAAACCGTGAGGTTTGGAAAAAACTTGTAGCCATTTAAGTGAGGCTCAACTGACTGATACAAAATCAAAAGTTATACCTGGAATTTCTTTTATCCTGACAGATTGTACCTTGAAATAAGAGGCAGCACAGTAAAATAAAAACATAGTGTTTCTGCAGTCATGTTGCCCAGTCTGAATACTAGCTGTACAAACTGAGCAAATTACTCAATTCTCCTGGTCTCAGTTTTAGCACCTGCAAATGGAGTATCAGTCCCCATCTTGAGATTACTTTGTTACTAAATTAGTTACTACATATATATAAAGTGCATGGGGCATGTGAGCCCTCAATTAATGCCAGCTATCAGAGTACTAGCATTAATTGAGGGCTGTCATGCCCCTTGCACTTTATATATAGTAACTAATTTAGTAACGAAGTAATCTCAAGATGGGGGCTGATACTCCATTTCCAGGTATCAGAGTACTGAAGTCCTGGTGTGGCGCTGTGGGTTAATATGCCAGACTGCAAAGCCGTTTGAACTGCAAGGTTGGCAGTTCAAGCTCACCATCTGCTCCTTGGAAACCCTATACAGGGTCGCTATGAGTCAGAAATGACTCAATGGCACTTAACAATAACAACATCAGAGTATTGGCATGGTGCTGTAGGTTGGCAGTTCAAACCCATGAGCTGTGCCTTGAAAACTCCATACAGGGTGGCTATGGGTTGGAACCAACTTAATAGCACTTAACAACAACATTGCTGCTGCTGTTCTGATTGCTGTTAATATTATTGTCCTCCAGCTACCTATTGTTGTTAAATGCCATCGAGCCAATTCTGACTCATAGCACCCTGTGTAGGGTTTCCAAGGAGCAGCTGGTGAGTTTGAATCACTGACCTTGTAATACAAACTGACCTTGTGATCTAGTGTATTACCCCACAGCACCATACCAGCATATAAATAAACTGATCTTATACTGTATTGCTGTAGACAAAGAAAGTACACCAGCTAAAAATAGTGAATCTTTGGGGCATGAATATATAAGGAATTCCTTACTTAGCACAGTTCTCTGTCTTCATGAGCCACAAAAAAAGGTGAAGGATAAGGTTAGAGGTAGCCCTGGGTTTGAGGGCTGTCCCAAGGGACATTTATCCTCTGTCTCATCACTGCATAAATCCTGCTCTCTGACAAAACTGCCTGAGGAGAAACTGCCACAGTCACAAATTTGTGTTCTGATGGTTCTTTACTGCCTCTGGGCCTTCTCACTTTGATTTCCTTTACCTCTCCTAGCTCCTGAAATGGCTAGCTTCTTCTCACCTTTCAGCAGTCAGCATTAAGAAGCACCTTCTAGACTGCCCTCCTGTTTAACATAGTACCACCCTGTTTGCAATAGTGCACCCAGCACTTGTAAAAAGGCAAAATTCCTCACAGCATTAGAATGTAAAACCCATGAAAGAGGAATTCTGTTTGTATTTTCTTGTATACCACTCAACACTCATTTCAATAAAAGCAATAAAGTCAATATACTTGAATACTGATTTGACTTAATATTGATGTTTCTTATGTTCTTATGGTACTGAAAACAAGACTAACTTTGTCTCTTGTCACATATTTAATTCCTAGAATGTTTTGCTTGTTGGTGGTCTCTATTAATACATTGTGAATATCAGGAAATAGCTCAGAACTTTGTCACTCAAAGACCCTGCTCTGAAGCTTCCTTCCTCCAGTTTACTCTCCACACTACCTCCGGAAGAACCTCAAAGTCCAGCTACCAACGTGCAGCCACTATGATGCAGCTGCCTCCGCTTATCCAGAAGCGACCAGAGTTCCCAGTAAAATATTCTCATTCTATTCCCTAACTCCAACTCAGCTGGTTCAGGAGAGTAAGCCTTGGAAACCTGGGTTTCAGGTAGATGCCACCTCTCCCCTCTACCCAGAACAGAACAAGCAGAATCAAAATTGCTCTCTCTGCCTTGACACTATCTGGATAAGGCCTATAATCCCTTTAAAATGCACAAGAGATCTAGATCATTCTTCATCCCAAAGCTGCTGATCCCACCTCTCCCAATTTGCTCTATCGAACATGAAGCAATCTACACTTACTTTTGAGTTGGCAATACCTCGTTCTTGCTTTAATTTTCTACAAACGATCTGACAAACTATTTAATTCACTCATTGATTGTGTATATCCTTCCCACTAGAAAATCAGCAAGGAATTGAGTCCTCTTTCTATTTTGACATTCCCTGTACCTTAAACCAGCGGTTGGCAAACATTTTCTAAAAAAGACCAAATAGTAAAAAATTTAGGTTTTGTAAACCATATGATTTCTATTACATATCCGTCTTCCATTAAAAAAAAAAACCCTTCTAAAACATAAAAAATGTTCTCAGATTATGAGCCACATAATAACAGGCCACAGGTAGTAGTTTGCCATTTTTTGTATGAAATAAAAGGTGATGCATTGGATTAAGTGTTGGACTACTGTACAAATGGCTGACAATTCAAACCCATCAGCTGCTCCATGGGGGCAAGATGCTCCTGTAAAGATTTACTGTCTTGACACCCTATGGCTGGACTTTGAGGTTCCTCCAAAGTTAGTGTGGAGCCATTCTACTCTGTACTATGGGAGTCACTACGAGTTAGAATTGATGTGAAGATACTGGGTGGGTAGAGCTTAAACAGAACCCTGGTGGTATAGTGGGTATGCACTTTGCTGCTAATCTAAAGGTCAGTGCTTCAAATCCACCAGCTTCTCTATAAGGCAATTCTCTGCACTACAGTGCCACTATTAGTCAGAATTGATGCAACAGCAGTGAGTTTGTGTTTGGGATTTGATCTTAAACAATACTGGGAATATAATAAACCTTCATTGAAGGCTTAGTGAATAAATGCAGAGTAATATTGTTAGGAGGGACCAGTCGCTGGAGAAGATTATCTTGTTAGGTAGGGTGGAGGGTCAGAGAAGAAGAGGAAGACCCCTGGCGAGATGGATTAGCCAAGTGGCAGCATCAGTTGGCTCAGTCGTGTCAGCAATAGTGAGGTTGGCCCAGGACCGGGCAGTGTTTTGTTCTGCTGTGCATAAGGTTGCTATGAGTCGGTACCGACTTGATGACGCCTACCAAAACCAGCAACAATGTTCAATAACCCTAGTAATACTTACAGCCTTATACAAATTGATCTAATCTTGCCAGATATTTCACTGCTGCTGATGGGTTTAATCACTCCCAATAAAAACTGTTTACAAACTAGGACTAAAAAGAGAACTTCATAATCTAATTAAACAGCATCTGATGTGACACAGTAGAATAAGCACTGGACAGTTAACTGTAAGGTTGGGAGTTCAAACCTACCAGAAGCTCCTTGGAAACCCTATACAGGGTCACGATGAGTAGGAGCTGACTGGATAGCACTTAGTAACAACAGCAACATAAACACCTACTTATTTAATGCTAAAAGTGAATGCTTTCCCCCTAATGAGCAAAACAAGGATGTCCATCCACACTCATCAACTCTGTTAAGCATTTTTTTAGCTGTTTTATCTAACGCAGTCAGGTGACAAATATAAGTGAAAGTATGCAGATTTGAAAGGAGAAACACAATCGTATATCTTCACAGGAAACATAATTATCTAGGTAGGAAATGAGATGCCATCTACAAGAAGAAGAAAATAGTGTTTAGAATTGATGTCAGTTTAGCAAATCTGCAAGATCCAAGATCAATATACAAAAAACGTTTTTATTTCTATACATTTTCAAGAACTGTGAAGAGTATAAAATGTTACTCTATTTGTAAGTTCATAAATTAGCCTGCCTAACTTTTACTGATATTGGCAGAAGATAGGAGGCTTTTGAAATGTACAGATGAGACAAAAACACTATTGAGTGCATAGGCAGTTGGGCTAGTTTCTGAGTCTAATTCACCAAGAGCCAGGTGATACTTGTACATGCAATGGGTTGCATTACAAGTAAAGAACCCCAAACTTATGTAATCTAAATCTTTTATAATGGTAAGTAAATATGCCTGACTTTTTCTGCAGATGTTTTCTTTATTGTATTGGACAATAAATGAATCTTCCCTTTGCTGATATTTATATGCTGACATCTATTATAGAAATAATATAGTCATTTTTTCTATAATCTAAGACTGTTTGCTATGTAAATGTCCTTGTAAAGGTATTGTAGAACAAGAATAATGAGTCCCTCTGTCCATAAGACATATTAAATATTAAGAAACCTACAGAGAATTATATTCCAT